TTTTTTCCAAACTGTAGGCCATCTTTTATATAGTTATAATAAACTCAATTGTCCAGCCAAAATATTTTTAAAAAATGATTGGTAAAACTTTAAAAAATCCCCTACGTGCCCTTGTGCATTAATTTTACCAATCTGTACATTTAAATAATGTCAGAAGTCATATTTTGCTAAAAATTTACCAAAATATTTTAAACACAAAATATAAAAACAAAAAACAAACAAAAAACCCAGCATAAACATTGCTGATATAGGCATTGGTTAGAAAAAACTGTTACACCACTAAGGAGTATATTCAAAAACATTTCTTCTCGGCTCTGCTATCACTAAGATTCAGAATATCATGGCTTGTAATGTTACAAATAAATCCTAGTACCACCCAGTCTTGTCTGATACAATAGATGAGCAGGAAGTCAACAATGCAATAAAAATAAGACCTCTTTGTGGTTATTTAAAGGCCACCAGATAAGCCTGTAACTAAAGCAACTATTTAAGTATGAAAAACAAATGTTAAATCTTGAACAGTCTATAATGGTTTGAAATTGAAGGTAGCTACCTGATGATGGCCCCATGGGCATTGAGAAGCTAGTGCTAACTGAAATTTTGAATATAGCCCTTAGTTGTATCATATTTCTTTAACGTTTAAGAACTTCCCAGCATGTCACGAATGAAGTTTATTTTGCAAGCCACCCACTGCCTAAGAGGACAGTAATATTCAATGTGAAACTGCTGGAACTCTGGCGTCTGACGGATTTCATGAAGAAAGGAGATATCAAGGTCCGACTCCAGGAGGACAAGGAGGAGTGGGAACACAAACAACAATAGTCCAAGGCCTACAAAAAGAAGCCTGGAGAAACTCTTCACAAAGGCGTTTACCTGTATGTTGCTCATTAGAAATTCATAACTACACCTAAGTGCTCTACGGGCTTCTTTCAGTTCCTCTTCCTCAGCAACCAAGAATGCATTTTCATCCACTTCCAGTTCCTCAAATGAATCTGTATCTTCTCTCTCATTCTCTGCTCTTAACGGGGTGTCAAAGAGCATGTCTATCTCATTATCATCAACTGGAGTGGGCAGCAAGCTGGCACTTGGGTTGTACACCAGTTCTGAGATAGTTAAAGGTTCCTCTTTGATCTTCTCTTCCTCTTCGATGGCGAGATCCTCATTCTCTCCGGCATCCTTAGATGGGGAATCAGATATCATGGGTACTGAGATTTCATCTTCCTTAGGCAGCTGGATACCTAAAGAATGGAGATAAAAAAAAAAAA